AAGACTGTTTCATTGCCAGAGAAGCGTAAAGCTGGTATGTTATAGTAATGAGAGTCATGCCAAAGCTTTTCTTTGAACTGTGACATTTTGTGTGTCAGCTACTTACGGGGTTTGACTTGTCAGCCACCACCCACCCAGATGATTAAAGATAGAAGACACAGTAACACTGCCATAAACCTAATGTACTATCTTTACACCAAGCTTTATTTTGGGAACCTTGTAGGGACATACTGCATATTCTAGGTTGTACTGCATATATTTAATTTTTTGATTCTTCTGATGACTGAATAAATGGATGAAATACTCATTATGTGATACACTAGGAAAAGAAGTAAACAAAATATTTCAATTTCAATGAGGACAATTTTGATATTGAGCTTAATTGTCTCAATTCTTTTTCAGTCAAAGCTCTCCCAGATTTCAGTATACTACACTGTGCAGGCTACTAGGAATGTCATGTTGCCCAAAGACCATAGTTTAGCAACTGCTTATTCAGTCAATAAAATAACAGAATCATAGAATGGTTTGGGTTGGAAGGTATCTTTAAAGGTCGTCTGGTTCAACCCCCCTGCCATGGGCAGGGACATCTTTCACCAGATCATAGAATCATAGAATCATAGAGTGGTTTGGATTCGAAGGGACCTTAAAGATCACCTAGTTCCAACCTCCCTGCCATGGGCAGGGACACCTTCTACTATACTGGGCTGCTCAAAGCCCCATCCAGCCTGGCCTGGAATGCTGTCAAGGAGGGGCATCCACAGCTTCTTTGGGCAACTTGTCCAGTCTAAATCTGCCCTCTTCCAGTTTAAAACTGTTGCCCCTTGTCCTGTCACTAAAGACCTTGGTAAAAAGTCTAAATCATCCAAATCCTTTAAAAGGAAATTACAGATTACTAGATTTCAACACCTATAGTGAATTACAGAAGCCCAAGGAGAACATAACAAACATACTTTGATAATATTTGTGGTTATATAATCTTTGCTACAAAATGGCAGCAATAAGCTGCATACATAAAAGATCCATTTGCAAATAATTTAAACAAATGATTCCTCACCTGAAAACTTGATAAACTTAAATGCTCTTTTTATGAACATTTTTAATGAGGACATCCTGATTGTTAAGTAACTGAGGTGTCAGAAAACAACAAAAATTCTACAGAATAAGAAAGCCAATGTGCTCATTGTCCTGGTTTTCGTTATTACAGAACCGATTCTCTTTTAGTGAATCTTCCTTACAGCAAAGTTCTTCTAAGTAACTGCATTTTTCTGAAGTTGGCTGCATGTTTTACAGACACTGCCCACTCCAAGGCTGGTAACACCTAATATTTATAGTTACACTGAGCTAACAGTAGGAAAGGAATGCAGGAAAAGGCCCCTGTTTATAATTATTACCATAGCAGCCAAGGTCACTGATAGACCTCTTAGGTCCCACAAGCGAGGATTCGGAAGGGGTCACACTTGCAGGGAGGGGTGGACCAAACAGGTGACCCGACATTGACCAACTAGGTATTCCATGCCATACACGTCACACTCAGTTTAAAGCTGAGGGATCATGAGAGTCTCGCTCTCTTCTTTCATGGCCGCCTTCTGAAGAGGATCCTGCTCGTTGTTCTCCCTGTGATCCTGATCCAGATTCTGATCTGTGCATTCCTGAGTCCAGTTCCAACTACTGCTGAGGCCAGCCCAGGACTTCCTGGTGCTGCCTGGCAGCTGCTGGCGGGATGTCAGTGCCCCAGTACCCAACTCCGGGAAACTCAGTATTGGCTTTGTACATTTTGCATTACTTCTCTTATTATTAATAGTATTAGTATTATTAGTGTTATTAGTAAATCTTTTTATACTAAATTTGTAAGTTTCTCTCCCTTTTCCTCCGTTTCCCTTCCTCTGGTGAGAGGACGGGGGTTAATAGAGAGTGTCTGTCACTCAGTTTATTGATGCCCTGCTTTGAACAGTGACATCAATAAACTTGGAAAAGATAGTATAACATTCTGGTAAGTAAATCCTGAATGTCCACCTCTGTGTAGTTCCACAGGGTACATGAATAATTATTTGTTAAAGCGCTATGGTTCTTTAGCTACTGCGACTCTTCTTTTCAGTGCTGGAGGTTCAGACACAGTTCAGTTCCCAGGGTTGTGCCAAACATGGTAGCCATCAAACAAAAGCAAACTTCTTATCTGGGCTCACATCATTTATACCATCGATGTCCTTCCACGCTTGGAAACGTTGCAGATAAGAATGTAACCTGCTAATGAGTGTATAGTCCCGTTTTCTGTCACTGTAGAGTTGACCTGAGTTGTCGGAGGTGCAGCTTGTAAGCTAAGGCTAATGGTAGCTCTGCTAATCCCTTCATGTTGACCTTTCACATTGAGCTGTTACATCAGCAGTAGAAAACATACATAGAGAAATTAAAAGCTGGGTAGCTATTGCTTTTATCATTTCCCAAACCATTGCTGAGAATAGGCCACCACCTAACCCACCTAATAAATGTCATTCCTAATTTTATCAATTTGTAGTGATAGCTGAACTGTTTCTGCAGTCTGCTAGCCAAAACCCAGATAAGCACTAGCTAGTAATTAATTTTTATTCAATTATTCAGAAGGAAGAGTGTCACCAGGGCCTACTCAGTTCCACTCATTGCGGTCATCTGCAGTTTCTTTCTGTCAGTCTCCATGGGAGAAGAAACAAGAACACTTACGATCTTTTAATACAGTTCTATTGTTTTCTAAAAAAAATTCTAACGTGGTAAAATAATTTCATTGGTCTCTCCTGCAGTTTATGTTCACAGCAACTTTTCAAGTCCTTGAGAAAATGAGGATTGAGAGCATATGGAAATAAATGAGCGATAGAGCATTTTCCTCTCTAGAGTTCCTTACTATACATACAAGACATATACATTTCTTAAAATGAAAAGCATACAAAGACCCTGCTGTCCATTAGAATATTTAACAGAAGACTGTATTTGTACAATATAGCAGATGCATTGTCAGTTATTTAGACAACAAACCACAGCTGGACTAGAAATATAAACAAGAGGCCATAGACTTTTTAACTGCTCCTTATGAACTAAATAATTATTTTTTAAAGAAGTAAAATAATAATAATAAAATAATATACCACAATAAAGTAATATTGCGTGGATTCAGTGTTTAGGAAGCGTGCAGGGTCTGGGGACCATAACAACCGAAGTCTACTGACCAAAAGATACAATTTCAGTAATATCACAGCAAACCATGATACATATTTTCATTAATGTGTCTAGACCTGTAGTGACTATTCCTGTGGGATAATAACTCAGTTTCCTGCATCTCAGAAGAGGCTGTGATGATATTGCTAATTAACATCCATGGTGATGATTCTCTTATGAAAACATTCATCTATTGGGAAATGACATTTCTAAGGCAAAACCTCCGAACTATTAGTAAGTCTTGCCATCACCTTTGCAAGGTAACATCGATTTGCTCCCACTGATCAACACATAAAGCACGCTAATTGAGTTACAGCTCATTTCATCTAATGGATATGCGGTCCTTACACACGGAGTCAGATACATCTATTGACACATTCAGTGTCTCCAACTTCCTCCCATTGTTTATATACTACCTGCCCTGGAATTCAATAAAAGAAAGATTTCACTTTGCCTGTACCTAGTGAGATACATTACATGTATGTATATACATGTAATGGGAACAGAAAATATAGACACCATTTTATAGATGTTTCACCTGTAAGTTGTACTCTGGAGTGCCTCACTAAAATTTGAATGAAATCGGAGACTTTCTTGACTTAAGAGTAGAACTGATACTCCCTTCCTCTTACAGATCGTTATTATTTGTTATTTGTTATTTATTTACAGCAGTATGAAGTACTTGCTACAGTCTGTAAGCTTGAGGACGGGATTGCTTCTGGAGAGTTTGAAAAGAAATCTGTAATCCAAGCAACTTAACAACTGGCAGGGAGACAGAAACGAAGTGGTAGAGTGGACCACATGGTCAGAGACACTGCCCATAATGAAATCTCTATCATCTGTTACTATTAATAGGAGCACACAAAGGCAGTAGGAAGTAAGTGATCATAGACGAAATAAATTGAATAAGAAGGATTTATCTCACTATAGCACAGCTTGGATGGATGTATGTAAAGTTACAGCACGCAAGAACATCTCCCAGTTACTGGATAAGAGAGAGAGAGAAGGGAAGATAGCTTTGTAGACAATAACTGCCAAACATTTTCCCTCAACTCTTGGGAAATTCTCTGATCATGCTAAAATATATATATATGCAAATTCTTCCCTAAAAGTCAGCTGAAGGTTTGAATCCACAGAATTTTCAGCCTGCAAGACTGGGTCTATGATGTACACTTGAAAGATTTATTCTTATCTCCATTTCAAAAGTTGTTTTTTTTAAAAAAGCTAAGTATTTATGCCTGCTTTACTGCCCTACATACACAGTTTTTGAAAATTGTTCAGAATTAAATCATGTAGCTAAATAACCAATAAATGTTAAATTAAAAATAATGTGTAATATATAAAAAAGAACAGTATATGAAAGTGAAACAATAAAGGAAAGACAAATATAATACTGATTTTAAAAAAACAGGTATTATCTGCCATAAATTTAGTCTGTTTCTACACATGCGAGTTATTTTGGTCTGTCAAGAAAGGGCTGTTGAAAAAGTGAACAAATATATTTCACAGTAACTGTAAATCAGTGTTTCTCCTTTTTCATCTGTTAAGTCAAGAAGAAAAAGTACAAGGTTTCAGTTCCTAACTAGGGTGATTGGGAATCAATTGAGATTTAAAATATTTTAAGTATTCTACACACACGTACACATGTAAATTAATACACCCAACTTGTCAACAGCAAAGCTTCAAAGGCTGTTCTTCAGAGCTACATTTACAGTCAAAGTTCTTAAAGTGCTGGCTGAAATAAATGAAGTTTCATTGATTTTGAAATATCTTGAGATCTGAAGTTTTCACTTTGTCTTTTCAACAGAGAATATTCTTTAGGCAAAGTATGCTGATGATACTTCATCTTGTCCGTACTTTATTGCAGATTCAAACTCTTTGAAGCTGATGTGGCCATCAGAATCCTGATCAACTTCTCTGTAAGAGAAGAGATTTGGTATTTAAAACCCAACAGACATTATGTAAAACAGACATTAAACTTAGCTGTAGATATCCAACACCAGTATTGTTTTTGAAGAACTCAGGAGTCCTACCACTTGAATTCTATGCAAAGAATTAATGAGCTATAAAATGCTTTTTCTGTAGTACATCACATATGAAGATCTCAAAGCTTTTTAAAAAGAAGAACAAGTATCATTATGTCTATTCAACAGGAGATAAAAATTACAATGTGACTTGTGCAAATTTCACACTTTTAGCATACATTTAGTTCTTGCACCTCATCCCTAATTCCCCAAAGTCTATCACCTGTGGCAGAGATCTTCGAAGTTCCATAGCATGACATGCAACCCAAGACCTCTAGGTCTTAAGATATCGCAAACTTACACTTAAAATTTCCCAAATTCCCCCATGGCCTTCCACATGCTGCACACATCTTATTTTGAAACAAATATTCTGTTAACAGAAAACCTACTTCTTGTAGTTGTAAGAAAAAAAGGCTAATTTGTACATTAGTATATGCTAAAGTCGATATTCAAAATTTTTACTTCAGTCAAAAGAAGTCTCTAAGAAGTAAAAGCTGTTGATATTTATTCCCACAATATAAGCTGATAAAGTTGGCAATTCGATTAATACACAGGGCTAAGTTTTATTGAATACGCTTTGCAAAATTATTTCATGCAGTTATAAATGAGGCTGGCAAAATAATATTCTGTAAAGTATTTGTCTTAGTTGTGCCTAGCTTTCTTACTAGAAACATGACACATGCAAAAGTTAAAATTAAGTAATTAAAAAACCAGACTAATTCTTGCATCTCAGCATTCGCTCATCATCTAGGAAAGTATTCGATTGGTTTACACCAATGCACAGTCCAGAATTTTATTCATAATCTGGAATATAATTTATGATTATTAATGATAAAATTTGCAGATGACACAAAGATTGCTAGAATTGTAGTGCTGCAAACTTTACCATCACAATTAGTGCTCAATGGTAGTATTCCTACCATCTTGCAGCATGCAAAATGCATCCTTTACATAGACAAAACTGAAAATTCCAAAATAATCCATGCTATTTAGCAGAGACACATTTCATTATCCTTTGAATGCCCTGGAATTTTCAAAGAGATTCTATACTCTGAAGAAGTTGTGCAGTAATTCAGTTTTAAAAAAAGCCTTACACAAAGGGACAGGATGTCCTGTCTGACACTTACTCTGAACACTCTCTTGAGAAAAGCCTAGTAAAGGTAAGAGAAAATGATTTATTTGCAACAGCTTCAAATACAGAAACACACAGAGTTTACAGAGACTGACAAGAGAAAACAGAAAACTGCTTACATCTGCCTATCCTTACCTCAGTTGCGAGCAGCTTCTCTAGGTTATCCAGCTTTCAAGACATCAATGACTATCAAATAATTGGATTAAAGGAAAACTTCTTCTGAAAAATGTACAGTCTGTCTTCACAGAAGAGAAGCTCTTCAATAAAAACTTATTAGTCTTGGTTGTTTTCAAGAATCCCTCAGACTGCCACCTTCCCAACTCTTTGGAACTTTTAACATCATTTGGTAAGATTCCTCTCATCTCTTGGCAATAAACAATATGTACTAGTGCTTAACTTTGCTATCAAAGAATTATTAACCTACTGGGAAGTATGCTTGGTCAAAGTTCAAGCCTCATGGTGGAATGATGAACTTTACATGGCCATAAACATATGAAATGACAGCCTGTCCTTACGGAAACATTTAAATGAAATTATTTTGTTCAGCTCATTGTTGGCTCTAGATTAAGACTAAATAAAACATGATGATATTCTATTGCTTCTCAGGTTAGGAAAAGTTTGAGATGGTGATCATCCAGTCATTTAGGGACAACAGGACAGCTGAGACCAGTCACTCAGTTTCTTGGTGAAAGGGATCCTTTCAAATACCACATTATAATACAAAGGAATGCAAAGTTATTCACCAGTGAGGATGAATGCAGGTCATAATTACAAAATGGAGATGCTGTCCTAGAAAAAAGTGACTGAAAAGGACTGAGGAGTCATAGAAAGTAATCGAATGAAGATTATCTCCTACTGCAATGCTTTACATAAGAGGGTGAATATGATCCTTGAATGTATAAGCAGGATAATATCTAAAACATATACAAGACTGATTTTATTTCAGAATACAGTTAGGAAAATTAGGAAGGAAATACTGTGTCTATTTTCTGGTGCCCACACTTCCAAAAGTATACTGAGGAACTAAAGAGAATTGAGAAAAGAACTACAGTAATTATACAGGTTATGGAAAACATGCCTTATAATGGGACGTTAAAATACTCTGTCCAAAATAAGATTGGATAACTGATCCAACCAAATCAAGACCATAAGTATCACTCTAGGAAAAATATTTTGGATACTAAATATTTTTTTTACAGCTTACAAGGAAAGACATGATGACAGGCACACATTGAAGGCAAAGCTAGAAAAATTTACAGCTTAAATAACGTGCATTTTCTTAAATGAGGCTGATGAGCTACTGAGGTAACTTGCCCAGGGATATGGGAAATGATGCTTCCTTGGTTTACCCTCCCTTGGTGTATTCTCTGTACGTTCATGAGTTTCCTAAACCACGCATGTAAGTCTGCATGTAATTATTTGTCATGTGTATTTATGGCATGGATTTGTCTAACAGCTTTTCAAACGGATGTGAAGCCCAGGACTTGAACACCTGCTCTATGACTAACTGCTGGCTCTTCTTTGTTTTGAACCTGCAAGTCATTTGATACTCCTTATAATTTAAGTGCCCTTCTCATTGAGTACATGTACCAAAGGGTGAATAAAAGGGATCTGTTTCGAAAGATAAACCACTGAAGGATTTTTAAATAAAAAGCCTACTTTAATGACAGTAATTATTATTATTATAACCTGTGCTATTCGCAAGTAAATTAGTTCATTCAAAGAAAATTTAAAGATTTAAATACCTGAAGGAATGTATAATAATCAAATAACAAAATCTAATTTTTTTAATATTATGATGTATTCTCAGAATTTAATTCTGGAAAATCACTTCATGAATGTTTTAGAAGTTGGTGCTGAAAATCTGGCTAATCTGAAGTTAAAGGGAGTTCTCCATTCATTTTCATGGGGCAACGATTTCACCCAGAATATCTGTGTTATGGCGTAAATCACATCTTTAATTATAATCACTGCATGTGCCTGTTTGGAAGCTGCTCTTGAAAAATGGCCCTCAGCTTTATGTGGTATTTGTTCAACACCCTGAAAGCCACTGGATGACTCTTTGAATCAAGAATCACTTTCTGAGCAACCTTTCAGCAGAGATCAGCAAGATACGTTGGGTGATAAATAAACGACAAATAAACTGGTAAGTAGTTAGCTATTGTAATCTGAAAAAACACTACATTTATTTATATGTTATGGATTTTTGAAACCTTGCCAAAAGTAATCTGAAAGCGAGAATGGCCTTGGAATGTTAAATTTTCATTTTCATCTAGCCGAAACAAATGATATATTCATCCTTGTGATTATGAAAATACTATGTCACAGCATATTGATCTTTATTTCACAGGTCACTATTCATTTAACGCTCTTAGTAAAGTATATATAGATATTTCAAGGTATGTAGTGCCTCAGGTAGATTGTCTGATCTTTCACTGAAAATTGAGTAATAATCAGCATCACAAGTTACTGACTGTGAGATAGAAGTTATTCTCTTACACAATTAGGTAATTGAAGACTCCCAAAATCACCTAAGTGTATTTTCATAGGAAACTGGATCAGATAAATGGTACTTTCCTTCTGACAGGAACATTTTAACCATAAATCTGAGTAGAGTAAATGAATAACCTAAAAGACTAATGTTTAATATAAGTTGCCTCTTGAAGTTTCATGTTTATTAATTCACTGAAATGAGTACTTATCAGAAAATCATCCACATGCAAATACAGCCTAGACTTTTATTTTATAAATAGCTGTATGTATTAATAAGTCACTTAAGCTTTTTCCCAACTAATGCCACAACAATTTACTTATGGTCAGATCTTATAGTTCCTGAGATAAAAACACAAATACAGAATTTGGCCATCGTATTTCTTCCTTTTGTATGGTAAAAGACAAGCCCTACTTTTTATAGTAGGTATACAAGCACTACCTCACATAAGCACTACCTCTTAAAGTAGCCACACAATTTGAAATATATTGTAACTATCTAATTATCATATTTTTTTTTCATTAATCCATTATATCTGTCCAAAATGTGCAAAAGTGTAGATCAAAGATTTTAAATTTACCCTGTATTTCTCTAGAGAATTCCGTATCTGTCCTAAGTGGTAAATCAGAGAATTAAGCAATCATTTATACTACTTTAGAAAAAAGAGTAGTGAATGCGCTGCAGAGCCAGCAGAGACTGCCATTGAGTTGGCTTTCAGCTGGTTAGCTTAGTAGGACAAGTCCCAAAAACCAAGTAAGAGCCAGGATAAATTAAACTCCACTCAGATCTCTGATATCACAGCCATATATCTGATCTATGCAAGTGAAGCATGTGGCTTAAAACTAGCTTAGTTTTCTCCACTATGTAAACATCCTTAGCGAACATTTATTATAGTACTAAAGACGGATGGTCCTCACTTTGACTTTGAAAGAACTGAAGCTAACCCTTGTGAAGGAAGTTTTCATTTAATCTGTTTTATGCAGACAGAAGTTTTCATAGAGGTCAGTGAGGAGAAAACACCAGATACATCACATAAATGACATACAGGAAGAGAAATACAACATATGTGATATACCACTGAGAACAAAAGCTTCAACGTTCATTCTCACAACAGTCCACATGAATAGGGGTTCACTTTGGTTACAGCTCAGAAAGAAAAAAAAAAAAAATATCCAAAAAAAAAAAAAAAGAAAGTATTTCTTTAAAGGTGATAGAAATAGTTACTTGTCTTTCCAAGTAATTTAAAGAAGGTATTACTTTCAAAGCGGTA